CTCAACGAGACAATGATGACCTCAACTAGACAATGACGATCTCAACGAGACAAGGATGACCTCAACTAGACAATGACGACCTCAACTAGACAATGATGACCTCAACTAGACAATGACGACCTCAACGGGACAATGATGACCTCAACGAGACAATGACGATCTCAACGAGACAAGGATGACCTCAACTAGACAATGACGACCTCAACTAGACAATGATGACCTTAACGAGAATGATGACCTCAACAAGATGATAACCTCAACGAGATAATGATGAACTGACAGGATATGATGAGATCAAAGAACGAGTAGCTGTAAATGTTTACAGAGACGAATACAGCAGTTTTGAAGTTAATTCCTTAAAAAAATAATTCAAAATGGAGATGAAGGGAAACGCACTGGACAGACCACGGTGCTGAGCTTACCTCGTTTGGTGCACCTTCTCATTGCATCTTTCACTTGTCTTTTGAACAAAGCAGCACTATAAATCTGCACGCAAGCAATCTTTCCACGGAACGTCCTAGAATCACCGATCTTTGCACCAATTCTAATTGGTTCCTTAGTAGCAAGGCTGAATCGACCGACTTTCTTTACGACTTTAGGACTTCCGTTCAGCCACAGTTTAGCAATACCCGTGTCCTTGTCATAGGATGTACATACAAATGCCCACGCCCTACGAGGTACGATGGGCTTTGAGAAGATAGGAGATGTCATCTTTCCTTTTCTTGAAACGAAACGCGCAAACAACACTTTGGGTTTGGCCATCCAGAAATGCACTCCCCAAGCGGGTCCTCTCTTGAAGTTGACGATAGGTCCTGCATTTCCATCATGTTGGATGTACGCACAAATAGTAATGGCATCTTTTGCATCAAGCTTGCCGTCATTTGGTATTTCGATGTAGCTGTTTGGTTCACCCAAAAGAGTTGTAGCTCCTCGTTTAGTACCGTCAGGTCCTTTGGCTGGTCTTGTGTTACTAAGCTTAGCCGTGGGTGCTTTGTTAAGACTAATATCTCGTCCACCAGTATTAGAGTCTAATGGATAGAAACCCACTAATCTTCCTGGGACTGAAAAATAAAAACACAAGACACAAATATTAATTGCCAAACCTGTAGTTATAGTGTACTTTGCTATAATCGTGGTGGAGACCTTCAAAAGAACATAACGCATTCAAAAAGCTGTTACTACACTTGATCCTGCAGTTAGATGTTAACACTAATACTAATGTCATGCTCAACCTCATATTAATATTACTTTCAATTATTTATCTAAAGTTAAACGAGCAAAGCTTTGAAAAACTGATCCAAACCGCAGTCTGCTACTCAATGTATCAGTTTTCAGCGTACAAGTTTGTTTACCTGGTCTTGGTACTGTTGGTTTTGTTATTGGTGCTGCAAAAAAATAAAAATAAGAAAATCCATAAAACCGAATAATAGAAATTCAGTTTTGAAAGACTATCATTTAAATCAACAATCAAAACCCTGTACTATTTTATTTAGTTAAAAGAGGCAGCATTGGAATTTAAATATGTAGTGTCAGTGTTAAAATATCACCTTTACGGAAGCATCTTTTCTTGACTGCTTTAATCTGTTGTCCAGTCAATGCCTTGTTGTAGATCTGTACACACGAGATACTTCCAGAAAATAGTCGTCTGTCTCCTGGTTTGCGTCCCATGATGATAGGATAGTTCGTGGCGAGTCTGAATCTGCCAATTCTTCTCTGGGCGATTGGGACTCCGTCTTTCCAAAGAGTTGCCCGTCCTGTCTTTTCGTCATACGAAGCTCCAATATAGTTCCACTTTCCTGGTTTAATACGGTTACTGATGACAAACTTAACTGATCGTCCTGAACGAGGAACAAAGCGAGCAAACAAGGTATTACGCCTGACCATCCAAATATGAACACCCCACGCCTTAGGGTTGTAGTGGAATATAGGTCCAGGACTGAATGGCTTAATCCACGCCAGCACAGTAATGGAATCTCGTAAATCGAGACGTCTTCGGTTTGGAATGACGACGTAACTGTTAGGTGCTCCCTTGAATCGTGTGGCACCAGCCGGAAGACCATCCGGACCATAGTCTGTACGAACATCACCAAGACGGCCAGTGGGGTTTCTGAATGGTGTGACGTCACGGCCTCCCGTAATACCGCTGAGTGGGTAGACAGCCACAGGGCGCGGTGGACCTACAAAAACAAACAAACGACGGGGAATGATTATTAACTAACATATGATATATAGGTTACTAAAAAATGAAATAAGATTAAGACTTACGTGGTCTTGTAGGCTTGCCTACTGGACCTAAAAATTATTACAGAAAAATTGGTTACTTGACTTCTATTTATGTATTATACTGATATTACAATGATCTCATTACTAGACTGACCAGTATTTATGGACAATGCAGATTCCATGAGTGTTATACTTACCGGTGGGAGGAGTAATGATAGGTCCTGGAAAAAAAAATGCCACAGTTAAGATACCATTCATATTTGAGTTTATGATAATATAGATAAGTGATAACAAGATTAATGTCTGCATAGAAAATCAGTTCATTATTACTGGGTAATGATCATTAGCAATCAGGCACCCCCTGAAAAACCGACATTAAATAGCTTAATAAGCTTACCAACGGGCCTTGGTGCTCGTCTGCAGGCCTTTCTCTTGATTACTTTAATGATATTGGGTAGAGTAGAAAATCCTGTGCGGACGACGTGGCTGCGCGAGGAAGCAATCTGAAGAAGCTGAGGATAGTCAATTGAAGATCCAACTCCAACAACAATGATCTCAACACCTGTTGTCTTTAACCCAGACGCACCAATACGAACATCGTCTATTGAACGTCCACCAGTCAAGACAATCAGTACCCTCTTACGGGGCCTTTTGGGTGTCCTTGGGAAGAGGTACCTATGTGCATACCTGAGACCAAATCCTGTATTGGTACTCTTACCGGGATATGGCATTCTGTCGATTGCTTTTTTAACACCATTGATATCCTTATAACGGTTAAAGTCGAAGACAGGTCTGGCACCAGAAGAATACACTACTGCACCGATTCTGGCTGCTTTAGGGTTAACCACAAAGGCAGAAGCCATTCTTTTCACAAAATGTTTCACCTTTGCAAAATTTCCAGGGCGTCTTCGTTCAATGCTGACCGATCCATCAACCAGGAAACCAACGTCAATGTTAGCAAGACAAGCTGAAGTTATCAAGACAAGTATCGCGATTATGAATAAGAATTACAAATGAGAAAGTATAACACAGGTTGAGAATTTAATAATTTTTTTTTACATCAACATTGTTGTGGATAAAAGTGTTTATTACTTTATAGGATTTTTGAGGCAGAAGTAACACGATGCTTGTTCCACTTACGTTTGCCCGAGCTTGGCTTGGTTGGACGGCCTGCGGGTCTTGGCTTCGTGGTTGGGCGAACTAAGAATAGAAATATTTACAAATAACTTATCAATGATAATTATCTTCTAAGGAATAATTGGTGATGTTTCCATCCCACCCATCCTGTTAATACGTGTAAAAAGGACTATTGACTATTGGTCAATAATTAATGTAGCCGGAGAGAAAGAAAACGAACTTATAAATTATTATTCTCCATATATTTTGTATACTCTTTTACCAAAAGACTTGTATGAATTACTTACTCTTTTTAAAGCATAGCCTCTTTGCCATTCGCATCTGCATTCCAGTCAGCTCTTTTGGATATATCTGTATACATGTGACTTTACCTCGAAGTCGTCGAGGATCTCGTCTTACCGCACCAGTACGAAGCGAGTTCTTAATTGGAACTTTCAGCCTACCAATTCTCTTCCTGGCAACTTCTTTAGCATTGATGAAGATCTTGGCAATACCAGTACGTCTATTGTACGTTGTACCAACAAAATTCCAGGTACGTTGTCTCAGCTTGCGAGTTTTGACGGGCTTAGTACGTGGCTTAGCTGGTGACGTGAATCGAGAGAAGAGTCCTTTCTTTGTACTGAATAACTTAATGCCGACACCAAGTGGATTAGAGTTCGTCAAGATCGGTCCTTCACCGCCGTCAGGAAACACAAATGCAAGTATTGTGATTTCATCTGTGGGGCGTTTTGGTTTGCCTTTTTTGATTGGGAACTCGGCATAACTATTCGGACGTCCTCGGAATCTGATTGACCCACCAGGGTTATTATCGACACCAGGCTCGTACTTGATGTTCACCAATTTGGCTTGTGGGTTCTTCTTGGGACTAACGTCGCGTCCCTTAACGCGCTTATTTAGGGGATAGAACGCCAGAGGGGGAGGTAGACCTTTACATAATAAAGAATAGTAGAACAATTCTGAATGTTTACAAAGTATAAAATAGGGTACCATGGGTGGCTTACGCGTCGTCTTCCATTACTTTGGTTCTAAAAGTTCGGGTCACTGATTGGAGACCTGCGGACGCCTCATGTAAATTGAGTTTATTTGTTTGATGTGTTTTTCTCGTCAAATTGGAAACCAGCCCTTAACGCTGTATTTGACACCGAATTAAAAAGTATATAATTTAGGTGAAGTATTGCAAATTGTACATGGCTGTCCTTTTATTAGTATAAAGTCAAGCGTGTTGATGATACTTTAGGGTTAAAGGTCTGTTGATCGTTTTATCATTATTATGTAATACACTTACGAGGTCTTGGGGTGCGTGTTGGAGCCTTGGTTGGTTTAGGTTCACCTGTAAAATTGAGATAATATTTAAAGATTGATACACTGTTTTTACTTTCCTTTCTTGCTTTATTTTTAGTGATCGTTTGAATAAATGAATTGATAAATCGATCTATACCTGGTTCAATACAAAGATCCTGGACAGCCTTGATTTGCTCTCCATCCAAAGCTTGACCATAGATCTGCACGCAAGAGATTGAACCACGGAAGCTTCTTCCGCCGATGCGTATTTTCCTGGTGTTCGTCTTTAGTCTAATCCAGCCAATATTCCTGGAAGTGATAGGGCGAGAATTAAGCCAAAGGGTGGCTTGATTTCTTTTTTGGTCATAAGTAGCAGCGATGTAGTTCCATTGATCGGGTTTGACGCGTTGCCGGCTGGTAACAGGTTTGGCAGGCTTTCCGTTACGTCGTTTGAAGGTAACTCGTAGAATTTTGCGAGTAAGCATGTTCAGTTTCACACCACGGGGAATATATTCTAGAATCGTTCCAGGCTTCGATGGCTTCACCCAGGCAATAATGGTAATAGAGTCACGAGGATCCAAACCACCCTTATTAGGTAAGACAGCATTGCTTCCTGGACGTCCGGGGAATCTGGTAGATCCACCAGGTCTACCATTTGGTCCTCGGTCTGGCCTAACACCATATAATCTTCCTGTAGGGTTCTGGATTGGACCAATGTCTTTTCCTTGAATCTTCTTGGTAAATGGATAGATGCCAACGGGTTTGGGGAATCCTAAAAAACATCAACCAATAAATTTATGAATTCAAGAACTAAGATTTACAATGCTCATATGCTGTAACATTTGACTTACGTGGTCGTCTCGTAGGCTTGGTTTTCGATTCTGTTACTCCATTTGACTCTAGAAAAGGCATTGTTTTAAAATTATTTACAAGTATAATTTTTTCTTCATATCAAGGGCATATCAAATGCACACATTTGCATTTGTTTGATATCCATAAAAATCCAGGTCACTGCACGTTACGCGTGTCAGTCTGTATTAACAGAGCAGAAATTAGTGGAGCTGCAGAAACTTCAAGCAAAATTAACTTACCGTAACAGGTCTTCTTGCTTAAACGAGAGACAAGCTCCTTAAGATTTTTGAAAGGACTGTTGTAGACGTGTTGAGGGTCTTTTGCTATTGTTAACAGCTGCTGTCTACTAAAGTCTTTGCCCACTCCAACAGCAAAGACATCGACCTTCATGGCAACTAAAAGTTGTATTGGTTTTAGAATATTATCGATAGCTATACCGTCTGTGACAACGATTAAAGTCTTCTTTCTCGATGGAGATGAACTTGCAAACAAACGGTTCTTTGCCAGTCTTAGAGCTCGTCCAAGGAATGTTCCACCTCTCAGGAATCTATAGTTTGAATCATATAAAAACAACATTACATAAATCAATTTGTGATGAATTAGAGGTTGCGTTTTGCCAGCAGGGCTTCCTCGTTCTTCTCCCTCCCTCCCTAACTTTCCAAAACAAATTATGCAACACATGGGCTAACAAAACAGAGCATGCAAGAAGTTTTCTTTAGAGAAAAATAAAATAGTCTACAAAGTACTGATGACAAACCTTATTCGGCGACTAATTGCTTTCTTTACAGCACGTTTGGTGAGAGCTGCATTAAAGCCAAAAGCGAGTTGAGGTCTTGACGAAAACACCACAGCTCCTATTCTGACGTTGCGAGGTCCAATAATAAAAGAATTGGCAATCTTATTAAGGAACTTCTTGACACGACGGAAGTTGCGTACACCAACACTACTAGATGCATCGACAACAAATGCCAAATCCATAGCTGTCTTACAAACTAGAAAGAATTATTTCAAAAACCATAAATATATTAAGAACTATATCTGGCTAGCTCTCAAACAAACGTTAACAGATCATTAAGATAAGTGGTCGCACTAGGTTATTAAACATTATATGGGTTTGAAAGTTTTTTGTTTAAGTGAATGAATGAATGAATGAAAATCAATCAATGAAAGTCAGAATTTGTGCTCTTTTAAGACTTTTCAAGTTGAATCAGTCCTTCCCGTCAACCTTACGCTTCCCGATAAAATATACGCTACTGATTGCCATACATTGAGTAATGTAATAAAACAATATAGTCCAATACCTTTGTTATAAGGAGTAGTAATTGCAGGCCGAGTGGGTTTTGTTGGAGAAGCAGTTGTAACACCCGGGCCAACAGGTACATTTGGCTTAGGAGTAGTAGTCTTACGGACAATCGTGTAGCCTAACATTAAATAGAAAACAATGTTTATTTAGCAAATCTTTATTATCCTAACATTTATTTTAAAACTGAATTCAAATTATCAAACACAGTACCTGGCGGAATTGTGTAACATGGATGCCCGCTAGTGGGACCTCCAGGGCCACCAGGTCGAGGAGTAGTTTTATGCTTGCAAGGTTGAGTGGGTCCGCCTGGTCCCCCTGGTCCACCTGGACCTCCGGGACCTCCGGGACCACCGGGCCCACCTGGCCCACCTGGTTTGCCTGGAGGCGCAGTTGTTGGCCCTCCTGGCCCTCCTGGCCCACCAGGTCCTCCGGGACCTCCAGGTCCTCCTGGTCCTCCTGGCTTACCAGGGGGAGCCGTTGTTGGTCCTCCTGGTCCTCCTGGCCCACCAGGGCCTCCTGGGCCTCCTGGACCTCCAGGTCCTCCGGGTCCTCCCGGTCCCCCAGGCGTTCCAGGTGGCTTAGTGGTTGGCCCTCCAGGACCACCAGGGCCGCCGGGCCCTCCTGGTCCCCCTGGTTTTCCTGGGCGTTTAGTTGTAGGGCCACCTGGTCCTCCCGGTCCACCTGGTCCWCCTGGTCCTCCGGGACCACCAGGGCCACCAGGTCCTCCTGGCCCTCCTGGCGTTCCTGGTCGTTTAGTTGTTGGTCCACCTGGTCCTCCTGGTCCGCCTGGTCCGCCTGGTCCACCTGGACCACCGGGACCTCCTGGTTTACCTGGGCGTTTAGTAGTTGGTCCACCTGGCCCTCCTGGCCCTCCAGGTCCACCAGGTCCTCCTGGGCCTCCCGGGCCTCCCGGGCCTCCTGGTCCTCCGGGTGTTCCTGGACGTTTTTTTGTTGGAGTTGTTGTAGCTCCCCGTTTAGGCGTGGTTGGTCCCCCAGGGCCTCCTGGGCCTCCAGGTCCTCCTGGGCCACCGGGACCACCTGGACCTCCAGGACCCCCAGGTCCCCCTGGAGTTCCAGGAGCTTTTTTTGTTGGCGTGGTTTTCTGTCCTGGCTTCGGTGTAGTTGGTCCTCCCGGTCCACCTGGACCTCCAGGACCACCTGGTCCACCTGGACCACCAGGACCCCCTGGGCCACCGGGTCCACCTGGAGTGCCTGGTGCTTTTCTTGTTGGAGTTGTTTTCTGTCCGCGCTTTGGTGTAGTCGGTCCTCCTGGACCTCCAGGGCCTCCAGGACCCCCTGGACCTCCTGGACCTCCAGGGCCACCGGGTCCTCCAGGACCTCCTGGATTACCTGGAGCTTTCCTTGTTGGAGTTGTGGTAACACCTGGTTTAGGTGTAGTTGGTCCTCCTGAACCTCCAGGGCCTCCAGGGCCCCCTGGACCCCCTGGACCTCCAGGGCCACCAGGTCCTCCAGGACCTCCTGGACTACCAGGAGCTTTCCTTGTTGGAGTTGTGGTAACACCTGGTTTAGTTGTTGTAGGTCCACCTGGGCCACCTGGACCCCCAGGCCCACCGGGGCCTCCAGGCCCCCCAGGACCACCTGGCCCTCCCGGGCCACCTGGTGAACCTGGCTTTTTCTTTGTTGGTGTTGTTGTGACTCCCGGCTTTGGGGTTGTTGGACCTCCTGGGCCACCAGGGCCTCCAGGTCCCCCTGGACCACCTGGCCCTCCTGGTCCTCCAGGTCCTCCGGGACCTCCAGGTCCTCCTGGTCCTCCTGGCTTACCGGGTTTTGGTGCCGTTGTTGGTCCTCCAGGCGTTCCTGGTTTTGGAGTTGTTGGTCCACCAGGTCCACCAGGTCCACCAGGGCCACCAGGTCCCCCTGGACCACCTGGTCCTCCGGGTCCTCCCGGTCCTCCCGGCTTTCCTGGACTTCCTGTAAAGTAATAGTAATAGAATTCGATATTACGATTTTTTAAACTTGTCATCTCACTAAAGACTTTTGGAAAAGCAATTTTAAGCATATCAATATAGTGTAATGATTAACGTTTACTAATTGGGACGTTTATGTATTGAATGCAACAAGAAAATCAGAATGAAATTCAAACAGTGCAATTAGGGTTGTAACAATACTAAGGTTTTGAACGTTAGTCCTCATTCAGGAATACAAATTATACATTATGCAAATCACATAATAAAATAAGACACTCAAAAGCAATGGGTCGCTTATTGGTTGACTACAGTTTTACATATTTGAGTTGTTCAAACTAGGCGTCTGAAGAAAATTAAAATTGATATCAGCTGTAAACCTTGTGGCTTAAAATTAACCTATGGAATAAAGGGGGATTAAGGTACGATAGAATTAGGAAAAAGACCTTTGGAATTAATTTTGTTAATTTTCAGAAAATGAGTAAAGCTCATGCAATAAACATTTATTTTTGCATTCAACTATTCAACTATTTTTACCTGGTTTTCCAGGTGATGCTGTTGTTGGTCCTCCTGGTCCTCCGGGTCCTCCAGGTCCTCCAGGACCACCAGGTCCCCCAGGTCCTCCTGGCTTACCTGGAGGCGCTGTTGTTGGTCCGCCGGGTCCTCCAGGTCCTCCTGGCCCGCCTGGTCCTCCTGGTCCACCTGGGGATCCAGGACGTTTTGTAGGTGTTGTTGGTCCAGCTGGTCCTCCTGGTCCACCAGGTCCACTAGGCCCACCTGGTCCACCAGGCCCGCCCGGTCCACCTGGTCCTCCTGGTCCTCCTGGTCCTCCAGGAGATCCTGGTCTTCTTGTCGTGGGGGTAGTTTTTGGTTTGCTTCCTGGACCTCCGGGTCCTCCAGGACCTCCTGGGCCACCAGGTCCCCCAGGTCCTCCCGGGCCACCTGGTCCCCCTGGGCCACCAGGACCGCCTGGTCCTCCGGGTCCTCCAGGGCCTCCTGGTCTACCAGGTTTTTGCTTTGTAGGCGTTGTAGTAACTCCAGGTTTTGGTGTTGTTGGTCCTCCAGGACCACCAGGTCCTCCTGGGCCTCCTGGTCCACCAGGACCTCCAGGCCCACCAGGACCACCAGGTCCTTCGGGTCTTCCTGGCCTTTTAGTTGGTTTAGTTGTCTTACCCTTCTTTGGTGTTGTGGGGCCGCCTGGTCCTCCAGGACCACCAGGCCCACCTGGTCCACCAGGTCCTCCTGGACCTCCTGGCCCTCCAGGACCACCTGGTCCACCTGGTGTTCCTGGAGGCTTTTTTGTTGGTTTTGTTGTTTTGCCGGGAGGACTAACTGTAGGTCCTCCTGGTCCACCAGGTCCACCTGGACCTCCTGGACCTCCTGGTCCTCCGGGTCCCCCTGGTCCACCAGGACCTCCGGGTCCTGATGGACCTCCGGGACCTCCTGGACCTCCAGGCCCTCCTGGTTTACCTGGGCGTTTTGTTGGCTTAGTCTTCTCTCCTGGTTTTGTAGTGGGGAATCCATTTGGTCCACCTGGGCCTCCTGGGCCTCCTGGTCCACCAGGACCACCAGGACCACCAGGACCACCTGGACCACCAGGTTTCCCTGGCCTTCGAGTAGGAGTTGTAGGCGTTGTTTTTGTTCCTGGTTTTGGAGTTGTTGGACCACCTGGTCCACCTGGACCTCCTGGACCACCTGGTCCACCAGGTCCTCCTGGTCCACCTGGTCCTCCTGGGCCTCCAGGCTTTCCCGGACGTTTAGTTGTTGGTCCCCCAGGCCCACCTGGTCCACCAGGACCTCCTGGTCCTCCTGGTCCCCCTGGGCCTCCTGGCTTTCCCGGACGTTTAGTTGTTGGTCCCCCAGGCCCACCTGGCCCACCTGGTCCTGCTGGTCCTCCTGGGCCACCCGGTCCTCCTGGTCCTCCTGGTCCAGAGGGCCCTCCTGGCCCTCCTGGTCCTCCAGGTCCTCCAGGCCCACCTGGTTTTCCTGGCTGATAACGTGGTGGTGTTGTTGGTAATTGTGGTCCTCTGCTTGGTGAAGTAGTTGGGCCACCAGGCCCTCCTGGACCTCCAGGGCCACCTGGTCCACCTGGCCCTCCGGGCCCACCTGGTCCTCCTGGACCACCTGGTCCTCCAGGACCACCAGGTCCAGATGGTCCACCTGGTCCTCCTGGAGTTCCTGGCTTTTTTTTTGTTGGAGTAGTTGTTCGTCCTGATTTTGGTGTTGTTGGACCACCAGGACCCCCTGGTCCTCCGGGTCCACCAGGCCCTCCTGGACCACCTGGACCACCAGGACCACCAGGCCCACTTGGTCCTCCTGGCCCTCCTGGAGAACCTGGCTTTTTCTTAGTAGGGGTTGTTGGTCTTGTTGGTCGTCCTGGAAGGGGAGTAGTTGGTCCACCAGGACCTCCTGGTCCTCCAGGTCCACTGGGACCTCCTGGGCCTCCTGGTCCACCTGGTCCTCCAGGCCCACCTGGACCACCTGGACCACCTGGTGTTCCAGGCTTTTTCGTTGGCTTAGCGGTTGGCTTGGTTGTCTTTCCTGGTTTTGGAGTGGTTGGCCCTCCTGGGCCACCTGGGCCTCCTGGACCTCCTGGACCTCCTGGACCTCCTGGTCCTCCAGGACCACCAGGYCCTCCCGGTTTGCCAGGTTGACGAGTAGTTGGGGTGGGCTTACCAGGTACAGTTGTTGGGCCTCCTGGTCCACCTGGTCCACCTGGCCCTGCCGGTCCCCCTGGTCCACCTGGTCCTCCCGGTCCACCTGGTCCTCCCGGTCCACCTGGTCCTCCAGGTCCACCTGGTCCTCCTGGACCTCCTGGTGATCCTACCAAATTGTCAAACCAAAAAAAAAAGTTAAGGTGACTGCCTACTTTTGAACGTTGGATTTGAGCCCACGATCTGCGCGCGCTCAAAAACCACCGAAAAATCTACAAGATTTTATTGAAGAACCATACGCGTTTTGAGCTTCAACAGGGCAAAAACCTCAAAATTTGCACGGGACTCTATTTTTTAATAGCTCATTCGAAAAATCTCCTAAAAATCATTTTATATCAATATTTTAGAAAAAGCTAAATTTTCTAACACATGAAAAAATAGATTTTTGTTCGATTTTTTAAGAGCATTGAAACTACAAAATATGATAAATCAATGCATCTCTTTGTCTTTTTGTCGAAAATATCCACGTATTATTGTAGAATGATTAACTAGCCTTCATTCTTGCAATCAGAGTCTGCAAATAACTTTTATCTTATAAATCTTAATTTTTTCCTAATCACTTCCGGTGGCGTAGTCTATTATCTCAAAAATAGGCTCGGTACACCCAATTTTTCTTTCCAGATTTGGAATCAGCAATAAATTTCAATTCGGAAAATCGAAGTTTAAAAAAAATTAAATTTTTTTCCAAAAGTAGGCAGTCATCTTAAGAAGATTTCAAAATTCAATGTTTTCGTCATAAAGTCTACCTACCTGGTTTTTTGGTTGGTTTCGTTGTAACACCAGGCTTTGGCGTTGTCGTTTTCTTTGGACCTCCTGGCCCACCTGGACCGCCTGGACCGCCTGGACCACCAGGTCCCCCTGGTCCACCTGGACCTCCTGGCCCACCTGGTCCACCTGGGCTTCCTTTTTTCGGAGTAGTAGTTTTACCTTCAAAAGTAACCAATGCATATCAATGTTAAGGCTGTAAATTATTTTTGGTTAGTTTTTTAAACTGATAGCTTTAGCTGATCTTAAACCCTGTGGAAAACCTGCTTATTGCTGCTGTTTTAAAGTAGTTGGAGATTACCAGAACACGTGAGAAGTGTGAGAAAAAGCATGACACGTAGCAGAGTGCTTCTCGAATGTTTTGCCAACAAGTACGGCACACAAAACATCGATTGCACCAAAGCTGCTGTGCCAGATGACTGTAAATATAAAGAAACACTACTAAAGCAAAAGGTAGTCAAAAATAGCAAGCATGAATAACTGATTGTACCTGGTGCAGGAGTTGAAGGTGTTGTTTTACCACAGATGCAAGGCTGTAGTTTAGAGGTTACTAAGTGACCGCCAGCTCCTGAATTGAATAAGAGTAATCTTCTTTAAAAAGTCATTATATTTTAATATAATTTATTTCCATATGGCTGCAGGTATTGGATTTTCATAATTGGTATTGCATGATTATACCAACATTTATATTCTAAGCTATCGCAATATTCCTTTCTTCCTTTATTTCGTTATTTGTGATATCTGTTCGCAGGTAACCTACCTAAGCAAATGTGTTTCTTCAAATCATTACTGATGTGTTTCAGTTGTTTCCAATCAGAAGTAAAAACGTGTTCATTGATTTTTCGTGACACAAAGCTATCCAGTTCCTTGGCGTTAAAATAACGACCAAGACCAACAGCAAATATCTTCACACCACGTGCTTTAATAGACCTTGCGATACGAGGCAGACCATTATCTTTGGATTTTCCGTCAGTAAGCACCACGATGACCCGCTGCGCTCCAGTACGTCGATTTCTTTTAAAGAATCTGTCATAAGCAGCTTTTAAGGCATTACCGGTACGAGCTCCTGTTCTTGGGTATCGAACTGGCCGATTAAATGCGTGGAAAATTCTCTTATTGTTTGTATAAGCATTGAAATCAAATAATGGATATGCTCGAGTGCCATAAACCATTGCAGCTATTCTTGTATTGGTCTTTGATACGGCAAATAAGGTTGTCAGGTCGCGTATGAAGTTGATGGTCCTGCGGAAATTTCCGACGCCATAACGTTCAACACTCGAGGAACCATCAATAACAAAAGCAAGATCAATTCTAGCTGAGCAAGCTGTTGAAACGAATCGAAAACATTGGTTAAACCTTGAGTACGTAAACATAATGTATTTCAAATGTACATTGCGCTGTTCATACAATAAATGCTGTGTTTTTTAATAATGCATAAATAATCGTTAAAATTATCTTACCAGTTGACCGGGTAGGCTTTGCTGTAAAAGAAGGAAAATGTAAAGTTAGAACATGGAAATATTTATTAATATAAAGAAAATAGGATACCTTAAGTATCTGAAGCCCAAAAGAGAGAGGTACATTATATAGAGAACACGAAAATACTCCTATCAATGCATTTCCTCCTACTTCTACTCTAAGAAAGTCGGAATTTGCTTTTCTTTGACCGCATACCCAGAGAGACATGTCCTTCCCTCCCTTCCTTAATAAAAGGTCCTAAGTTTGTTACAAACAATATTAATGATGCGATGTTAATAATAATGTTAGTGATAATGATAGATGACGACACTTACGACAAGGTGGGCAGAACACAGAAGACTTGGTTGGAGAAGGTACGTCGTATTTGCCAAACAGAGGGTTGTTAGGGTCTGTTAGATCGCCTAGGTTGTCAGTGGTATCATCGATATCGCTGTGTTCCTCTGTCTGTAGAGCAGAGGCTGGTGGAATACTCTTCTCTGCCTCGGCGTCAAGGGTGTTCTCTTCTTCTACGGCTTGCTTCTCAACTTCATCTGTATAATCGGGAGTGTATTGAGTGTCCACTTGCTGAGGTGCGTAAGACTGTTGTACAGACTGACTGCCATAGTAAGGTTGCTGTTCGTAGTAAGAATTAGGCGATTGTTGTCCAGCTGAATATTCATTAGAGTATGAATTGTCGTATGACTGCTCACCAAATGCTATCTGTCCTTTGGGTTGGGGCTTTGCTACCTTTGTAGAAACAGTTTGCAACTGCTTGATATGAAAAATAAAAATAACTCATTGAGTTTGGCCAGTGATAAAAATCGATTCTTCTCCTGATTGTGTAGTATTTCGACAACTTCTCGATTTTTTGATGCCTTTGATATATTGATCGTCTTGTAACAAGACAAATCGTACACTAAGAACACACACCTTATCGTCTGCTTTAATGTTGGGTGTAACAGCCTTGGGTGGCTGTTGAGTGACAGGAGCAGCAGCATATGCGGCACAAGGAGGCACATCTAAAAGTACATAAAACATATATATACAATAGTTACTACACGACATGTATCTTACATGAAGGCCATTTATAATAGCTACTACGATTATCACTTGAAAAAGACGAGAAAGTTTACAAACGAACGTTTCGCCGTAATCATTGTTAGGAGTAATCCAAAAGGTTATTACGTCAACAAGTCTAAAAGCGAAGAGACCCCGTGCACAATGAAATCCTTGCATAGGTTGGAGGACGACGCCTTAGCGGAGTAGACAACCCATGCTTCTCATTGGTGAGAGGGCGAGGCACCTGTATCTCTCGGAACTGAACATTACTTCAAGAATGGAAATGGTCATCAACTAAAAACCCTAACTACTGTGGGATTTTACACATAGCTTATGAAAATCAGTTGTGCTATTTAATTTGTTGATTACTAATCGTAAGTAAGAATCTACAACAGAATAACTAAAAATAGGCTGTTCCTTTTTCTCACTTGGTATATTGCGTTTGTTTTGAACATCTAGTGGCCAACGCACGTTTTATCTTACGAGCAGTCAAGCTGTGGAATGCTTTAAGTAGCAAAATTTTAAACGTGCATTACGTAGTAAGCTTTCAAAGGATTCTTAGTGATTAGGATATATTTCTAATTAGGATTGAATTTTTTTTGAATACATATATAAATATAGCTAATTTATATCTATATAACTAATTTATATTCACTTAATAATCTATTTATCGACATACTAGATTATGTATATTAGATATTTCTATTTTAGATATTTTTATAGTTAATTTATTTATTTGTATTATTTCTGAAAAGCCCTGTAAAGGAATGGACATTATCCATCTTTGTGGATCGTAAAATTCCTTCAGATTTAAACAACTAAAAGTCGTTCCTAAAGCGTGATGCAATGAATGGCATGTGGAAGAATAGTCGAACCACCTGACACTTTACACACGAACAACCAGTTGTTGCATTTTATTCGTGATCTCATCGATATCAGTTATGTCTATATTCAGTCAGCCTTCTCAGAGTTGACGAACATTTAAATACTTTCACAAAAGGAACGAAAGATAACTGAAAATCTATAAGATGATTTAAAGAAGGAAAAACGTTGGAAATTAATTTGAATGCCGATCAGAAGCAGAAAGGGGACATGCATAATATAATTGGCAGGTGCCACTACTAATTAATAAATTGCATAACATCGGACATGTACTAGACTTGTACTTACTTGGTCCACATTTGGTGTTCACAGGGCAACATTTAAGGATGTTCGCTGTTGCTGTGAAGATCAAAGCAAAATGCATTAAGTATAATAAAAATCTCAGTATCTACAATCGACAAGTTTGTCGTGGTATTGCGCATGTGCGAGGCATTTCCAATTAAATAACGACGTTCAATTTTTGCTATTTTTCATCTACAAGTCATTAATAATAAAAGCCGAATTTTTTTAAAAAAATGACGCTTTTACCGATGCTTTGGCGTTTTGAGATAGGACCTTCATCGCTCTCTTGTTGAACCGGCTGAATTTCGGCTTCAGATGATCCACTGCCTTCATCCTCTTTGTCTTCTTCATCATCGCTATGGGAGCCTGATTTTGATTCTTTATTCGATTCTTCATCGGGAATGGAACCGGAATTCGATTCTTTAGTCGATTCTTCATCGGCAGTGGAAGCGGATTTCGATTCTTTAGTCGATTCTTCATCGGCAGTGGAACCGGAATTCGATTCTTGAGACGATTCTTCATCGGCAGTGCCAGCGGATTTCGATTCTTTATTCGATTCTTCATCGACAATGAAACCGGAATTTGCTTCTTTAGTCGATTCTTCATCGGCAGTGGAAGCGGATTTCGATTCTTTAGTCGATTCTTCATCGGCAATGGAACCGGAATTTGCTTCTTTAGTCGATTCTTCGTCGCTTTTGGAATCGGTCATCGATTCGTTTGTCGATTCTTTATCGGCATGAGAATCGGTATTTGCCAATACTTCGTTATTTGAATCCGCATCTGATTCAGGAGTAGATTCTTCATCGTCCCCAAGGTCGCGCTTTTGTCGTAAATTGACATTTTCCGACTGTTGAGAACTTAGTTGTACATCTTGATTCAATTCAGCTAAAGCTGTACTTATGATAAGCACCAATATGATGCCTCGAAACGATATGGGGCTTGCCATATCTACCTGCAAATGATTAACGCATATAAATCAGTTCTAGAATCGAGTGGAATATTTACTGCCGGCTGTAGTAAATGAATCATTGTATCTGTATTTGTTGCCCCTTCTTTTTGCAATTCTTCATCGTTAATTCTTAATCAAGCTTTTAATCCTTCATTAATAGACAAGAATATATAGGATTTATCTTATTGAATTTCGAGTTTTTCCTAACCTTAACCTTTTTTTCGTTAAGAAAAGATTACGTCTAAATGACATCACTTGGTCCTCTCTAAAACAACAAAGTTACTTCTTGCCCTCCACACACACATGTATAAAGAAAAAATCTAAGTCATTGAAAAGAATGCGTTTCAATATCTTCTCAAGATTTTTTAAACAAAATCTAATAGTTTTTCTTGACAGCCCTCATCTTTCGAAAGCCCTATATAACGTTATATTAATATTTTACATTTTTCGTTGAAAAAAAAAAAAATCCCTTAGTTAATAGTAATCTTCTAATCTATTGGTACAAAAGAATAATAAAAGTAATATTGGTGTAAGATAACAATCTAGGATCGTCAATTGCCTTACCTTTGCCCTGCTGGCCGTAAGTCTAGTCCTTAAACAGACATCATTATACGGCCATAATGTAAGGACGAAGAAAGGTTGACCGTGACTGACAGAGAATTGTGGAACAACACGATTTCTAATCCTATCACTTATTCATTGTCTATAACGTAACTTTTGAAAACTCACTTAGAAAAATATAAATATTTACTGGTTATTTTGTAGAGAATTTCATAATAGAATTTTGTTGAAAACTTTGAATAACTGTGTAATGCGTTTCTTTTTTCAAGTAAAGATCAAATAGTAAATCATCACTTTTGACAAAATCTTCATATTTATTAACAATAACAACTATGTACCTTGTCGTATTCCAACAAATTTTATTATTTCGAAGAAATGTCTTTATTTGGTAAGAATCAACAACCTTGATCGTTTGATGTCATTTGTAGATAATAGGATAACAACACAGGTTTACCTGAAAACCACTCTTCATAGTACCTGCTTCTCAACCTAAAACAATACCACTTACTCACAACAATCAGTCCCATCTAATTTCTATTGATCCACGGAAAGTTTGTTACTAGCTAACCTATTAAAATACTCCAACCTTGATTTCAAGTTTTGCCGCAGGGAAAAGGAGCAATCCGATTACGTGACATTCATCATACTTCTTCCAAAGGCCGGAATTTTTTGTTGAAACATAACTATATTCATCATTTTACCACATCTATTGGTCTATTGTTTGATTTATTGGACCATTCCTTCAAAATTAGCAGTTATGTAACATTCCTTCCTTTCAACGACATGTTTTATGATGATTAATGCCAAAGGTGTAGAGAGTAAGCTAAGACCGTCCCACATCGTAGTCTTCATTTTAGTTTAGAAACCGTAGTCGCAAATAATTTAGTCGTTAATCATATAATTCAATTATCAAAGGTACTCATTGAAGTACGACGTGACAGTATTCACGGTAATTCTTCAAAGAATAGTTTTGTTAACCCGCGAAACAACACGGCAATTAAAAATAGCCGGAGAATCGTAAAAGCAAACTCTTTCGTGTCGATAGAATATTGAGAGAGATATTTTTAGCGGGTTAAATAAAATTGCTATAGACCTAAAGATCACTAGAATGTTATGCAATAAATAAAACAAGCAGTCTGATTGGTTCTCAATGTTAGCACATTAAGGACGTTCATGGGCAAAAGCTCCCAAAGTCAGATTATTTTTTTTTTTCCTTTAAAGTTTGGTATTACCAAGTACTTCCAAAAAACGAAATAAAAAAGGGGGGTTCCCGATTTCGTTTTAGAGCTACAAGAAATTAAAGACGTTTTTGTGATATCTTGCTTATCGAAACATGACGTCATCACGATGAGCGTACGCTCACTAAATTCATGCGTAGAAAGGATGCGCGCAAACAATGACCATGAACGTCCTTATATCATAAATTCTCGCTCCACGCGATAATATAGTCCAATTTAACAGTCAGAAGAATTTTTCGAATATGGAAATAATACGATAGTTGCTTATATGGGATTATAGAGTGGTGATAAAATTATACGCGATTAACACAGGCCATCTAGTTGTGGTATTGAATTTTAATGATTGTCTCTCACGTTAGGATTCTACCACCTTACGTACAAAGTATCTCCTTGCACAACCGAGTAAAATGACAAAGACCTTAAATCGTCATCCAACTGAATTTCACGATCATTCTGGAAAACAAAGTACAGAAATCAGTGATAAAACTGATCTACGTTTAGGAACCGCGAAGGAAGGGGGAGACCTTATTTGACCCATTATAAATGGGGGGAGGGGGAAGGGGCTTTCCACAGATCTCCAGACTAGCATTCCCCTCCCCCTCCCCCACATAAAATTATGTTCCTTGGTTATCAAGGTTGAAGATGAGTAGTGACAATAATAATAATTGATAACATGGCATATCACTAAACCATTCTTACTTTGGTATCAAGGTATGACAGTTTTTGATCGGCACTATCCACTTTATATAATCGGTATAACAGCCCTTTAAGTTTGCCGATCGTCATGGTTCCTGGAAGTTTTTTCGTTAATACTTTTTTAGAAGAGTCATCAGGACATTTGAATGTCAACGCTATTTGATAAGGTTAAGGTGTGAACACGTAATAACAGTACAAAACAGGTTACTATAGTAACATAGACCCAATATTGGATGATAGTATACTTTGCATATGCAGTCTCATATGCAGTCTTTATACTTCTTCATTGGATGATATACTTAGAGTTCATCCAACAAGGCGTACATTACGTCATATGCAGTCTTTATACTTCTTCTTTGGATGATATACTTAGAGTTCATCCAACAAGGCGTACATTACGTCATATGCAGTCTTTATACTTCTTCATTGGATGATATACTTAGAGTTCATCNAGTTCATCCAACAAGGCGTACATTACGTCATATGCAGTCTTTATACTTCTTCATTGGATGATATACTTAGAGTTCATCCAACAAGGCGTACATTATGTCATATGCAGTCTTTACACTTTTTCATTGGATGATATACTTAGAGTTCATCCAACAAGGCGCACATTTCATCATATGCCGACAGAGTGGTGTAAAGGATACCAATAAGTGATTCTTTTAGAGTGGCTGCGGTCTTTTGATGGACTTCACTATCAGGTATACCATGTACTGAAACAAAAACGATGTTATTAAAACTGGCAATTATTAGTACAACATATATCTAGCCTCCCCAGGCAGGTAGGGAAGTTGTGCACGGGATCTCCTACACATAGAACCCCAATCAGACCAATGTTTACCTCTGGCAAGCTCTGCATATCGTGGATGTTTCTCTACAAATTCTGTTGTCAGTTTATTTGCGTCATAATTGTCTACTTTTCCTCCTGCATCAAACCAGTCCTTGGCGTACTTCTTGATGTATGCACGTTCAGCAGCCAGTCTTTCCTTCTCTGTAACCTGGATTTCATCAGAAACGAAGAACTGTTCTCTTTTTACATGTTTCTTTGTTCGTTCAAGTATACGTTTATATCTTCATTCCCGGTTTGATTTCTTAAGATATATTTAGGCTATGTTAGAAAACAACAACTAGGGGTCTCTTTAAAATTAATTGATGTCTTGGGTCTGATGTCTAAGGTTTTATCTATCAGATAGCGCTATCCACCCTTCAGAGATCAGGGTATCCCCCTGACTAGCTAATAATACTGAAAAACCATTGAATCATACTCACAGGACTGCCATTCACTGTCTTTACAGAACTAATTCTTGCAATGAGTTCTTGCCGAATAGAAAAACCGGTCTCGCCTTTAACAAGAAAACAGATTAAAAGAATAATCATGAGCACTTCTGTTTTAATTTCACTATTTCCTGGACATAACTAAGACCTAAAGAAATGCAACTTTTAGCTTTACGCAGTTAATAGTATGCCCAAGAGATGTTATTTTTCTAGCCTGTTAGATTAATACACAAGGGAATGACATGTGATCTCTCTAACCACTGAGATTAATACACAAGGGAATGACATGTGATGTCTCTAACCAGTGAGATTAATACACAAGGGAATGACAAGTGATCTCTCCAGTGAGATTAATACAAAAGGGAATGACATGTGATGTCTCTAACCAGTGAGATTAATACACAAGGGAATAACAATTGCTCCCTTTTACCAGTTAGAATAATACACAAGGGAATGACATGTGATCTCTCTAACCAGTGAGATTAATACACAAGGGAATGAAAATTGATCTCTCCAGTGAGATTAATACACAAGGGAAGGACAAGTGATCTCTCCAGTGAGATTAATACACAAGGGAATGACAAGTGATCTCTCCAGTGAGATTAATACACAAGGGAAGGACAAGTGATCTCTCCAGTGAGATTAATACACAAGGGAATGACATGTGATGTCTCTAACCAGTGAGATTAATACACAAGGGAATGACATGTGATCTCTCTAACCAGTGAGATTAATACACAAGGGATGACATGTGATCTCTCTAACCAGTTAGAATAATACACAAGGGAATGACATGTGATCTCTCTAACCAGTGAGATTAATACACAAGGGAATGACATGTGATCTCTCTAACCAGTTAGAATAATACACAAGGGAATGACATGTGGTATCAAGGAAAAACAATGCTTTAGGTGTATTTACCAAGGTGTATGGGAGTGGTTGTTCATACCTTTGAATACAGGGTTGTCCTTAAAGCGCAACTCAACCAAATCAACCAACTTGTTTAGAGCATTCACACTTGTAATCTAGAGTAAAGGAATATTAAAAACAAGCTACTAAAACCTTTGTCAGCGAACAGCTTTTTGGGAGAAGAGCTTCTCTTATTCATAATAAGATAGCCAGGAGCCAGAGTCATCAGGGTTGACTTTTATCAATCAAAATACACTATGGTATTTCTGACTGTGGGAAATTCCCAGACATCTGGAATTTTAGCTGGTCTGTTTTAACAGGAAAACGGGTATAACATCAGGCAGGTAGAATATGCAGTACTTACATCTTTTATGGAGTTCCTACTGAAAGACAAAGATGTTAAAGAAGGAAATAGATTTGTCTTGTTTGATCCTTAAAGGTACAAAAAATAAATACAAAGTAAATGATGAATTATGTGATTAAAGTAGTCTTAATGGTGTTTATAGACTCTTCTAACTAGTGTTGTGAAGTCTAAAAGCAAGTGAGATAACAATACCTGTATCATCATCAAAGATCACATCAATCAGCTTATTATCATTGAGAATAAGAGTCTTGAGCCTGAAAAATCAAGGCATATTATTTTCATATACACTTTCTTTATTTCTATTCAAAGGACATATGATACATTCAAGATGGTACGGGGTGATGTGCGCTACCAATGTGTTGTCTCTTACCAATCCAACCTGTGTTCAATTGTTTGGTGTTGTTGTGAGCGCAGTTTTTTTCTCTCTCCTGCGTTTCCAGGGTTGTTGGTTTTTTCCTCCCCCTTAAAAATAGACTTCTAAACTGGTGAATGTGCAAGACTTACCTTGTAAGATTACCAAGCAGTGTAATATCACTCCAGTTTGATATAAGATTCCCCTCTAGATTCAATGTTACTATTTTCTGATTTAATAAACACTGATTGCTGTTCTCTTCATCATTATTTAACCTACAACGACAGGCAGAAGAGGAATAAGTATTTGGTATTTGATATATGTACTGTGTGGAGCCTTTTCATTACCTCAAGCTGTCAATAGCATTATAGCAAACATGGAGGTCTTCAAGGTCTGGGAACATAGTCATTATCATCAAAACCTTTGGAAATAATAAAAGGATTTAAAAAACATATTTTTAATCAATAACATTAATGACAATATAATATTGTACCAATGAACTTTATGTTCTCTTATTACTTTGGTAAGGTATACTATCATTAGTTACCATGGTAACAGATTCACTGTGTACAGAGACCCCTTACACAACTTCCCAACCTGGAGATCAGAACTAAAAAGATTTCCTTTTTTCCCCCAGTGTTCGTATTTTCTTGTTTTGACCCCAAGTTGAGATTTAGAGCAAGGGTAACTTACATTATATATGTAGATCATTATATATTTTATCATATTACACATTATACATTATATATTTTATCATATTATTAGCTAGACTTGCCTCTGTCCAAGATAGGTTCATTCTATTTAAATACAATTCTTTTATCATACAGAAGGAAGATTTCAGCAAGCTATGGTCTGTTGGTAATGTTAGTTGGTTTTCACTATAGGCAAAAACAAACAAATTCGTGAATGATTATCACAACAGTAACAATTAACAACTCATCTTACACAACTCATGTGCCTAATGTAACTGTACATGAAACTTTTACCAATACTACCAACTTACTTATGCATTATTAAGAACTTTGCATTGGAGTAATGCAAGTTGCAAATGAGTTCAGTTGTTTGGTTGATATAATATGGTGTGCAGCAACCATGATGTCTTCTGATTTGATACATACTTACCTTACATTAAGAGTTTTAAGTTTATTAAGGTCTTTTATTACTTTTGCCAAATCATCCCAAGAAGCAATGAGGTTTCTAGATATATCCAATTGTACAATATCTGTTAGCATAATTAAGGATGTCAAAAATTTTACCTTATCTTATAAAGATTTTTTAAATATCAAAGAGTAGACAATTTACAAAAAGTTAAGAAATGTAAAATCCTTATATTTGTTATTTTGAAGGATACTTGGTGCAACTGAAGACAGTGACACATCCTTATCTGGTCCATTTACTAGTTGTTCTCTGAGGCCCACTTCAACCAGCTTCTCAAAACAACTGAATAGTAACACAAGCAAATTTTAATGTTGCTTTTCTTTGAAAGATGTATGAAAAATATTTTTTCCATGTATTTTTTTGTTATGTAACTTTGTATACCCTACATACCTTTGAACTTTGTGCACATCATTTACTCCAACCATTTCTACAGCAGTTTTCTTATTATTTGCATCTACTACATACATATCTTGTACTGTATCATGTTTTACTCCATATCTCTGCTTTAAAGCATCAATTACTGACACTCCAAAATTCACTTTCTTGAGTCTGACAAATGAACCACTCTTTGGATGGCTGGAGATTAAAACAAAAAATGTAAAGATTTTATGGAGTAACGCACTCCCTTACAGTGTAATAGTTAACAATATGACCCCCAAATCGGTGACAGTAGGGTGTTGGTACAGGGCTGTAACCACAAATTTTTGATTGGTCCAGTGGATAGACAGTATGTTGTCAATGTGGTTAATACAAGTGTTATTTGGTTGTCAGGACACATTAACCTTATTTATGAGAGCATTGTTCATTGATTTTATTAATGCTGTGGCTCTGAAAAAGAGCCATTGTTTGATAATAGCTAATACCCAGCTGGGATATCTTCTATATGATGGCTGTGAAGTAATCTCAATTTCTCTCCACCCTTTTCCACACAAACATATCTAGGTATCTTCAATAATGTATGCAAGAGTATTCTTAAGAGGACTGCAAAATCAGAATTTAGCCTTTTTTGCAGGTTGATGAGAAGTAGGAAAATATCTGTGAATGTCGACATAGTAGTTGGATAAGGGGAGGGGGAGGGAAACACAGTCCCCTCCCAACCCAGCCACACATCCACCCTGAATACACGGTCTTTCATTTCGGCTTCAATGAACTGGATAACCATTAGGAACAATTACCCTAACCCAACAAGTTCTAATATACTACACAGCTGTCCTACTGTACTGTTGTCCCTGTCTTTAGGTGACAAGTAAGGACCGTAAGATAATAAAATGACATTTGGTCACCCTTTTATCAGACAAAACCAACAAACTTCGATTGACTCGATATAGAAAATGTTTTTATTACCTACACACGAAGTAGCTCACCCCATCCAAGGTACCATCGTGTTTTCCTCGTTTCTCATCATCCCATTCCACACCAAGCCATTCTCCTGCAGACGCAAGGGTTAATTCATACAAATATCAACGAAATTAATCTCGAATAGTCTCAATTGTACCTTGAGTGGGCGGAACGACCCCAAAATACTTCACAGTTCCTATAAAATCATCACAAATGACTCTTTTTCCAACAAAAGTCACTCCATCCGCCATCTTAACATCGCGGGCGTACTAAAGGTCAGCGAAAACATACGATAATACAAGGTTTGTTATTGGTCAGTTGACGAAGGCCAATGAAAATCATCGTTAGTATAGTTTTCGCGCAATATTTCATGTTTGGCGGGAAAGTAGGTTTGTTGTTTTACGATGCCTCGACAAAAGCGCAAAGGGAAAGCTCAGAACAGCGAAGATGAAGGAAAAGTTCCTTCAAAGAAGCTTAAATCGGTCAAAGGGAATGATTCTACAACGGGATTGAAGTTGAGGATCGAACGTTGGTAAGAGCTAGGTTCTTTAAAAGCGCGACAAAGACAACAATTTCTTGGTAATGTGTTGGCTTAGTTACGTAATAGTTCAACTTATTTCCAATGATCAAATGGAAACGAAGAAGGCTTAAGATCTCTCTTACTCTACATTAGTAATGTTAGGAGGCCATTCACTATCTGGAGTTAGGCATGAAGGGAGGATGGATATGAAGGGGGGATGGGTATGAAGGGAGGATGGGTATGAAGGGGGGATGGGTATGAAGGGGGGATGGGTATG